CCTGTCCTGAACTTTTGAACGTGTAATTCAAACTTAAGGACTGGCTGTCCTTAACTTTTGAACCTGTATTTCAAACTTAAGGACTCCTGTCCTTAACCTTTGAACTTTGAACTCAAAGTTAAGGACTGCCTGTCCTTAACTTTTGAACGTATAATTCAAACTTAAGGACTGCCTGTCCATAACTTTTTAACCAGCAAGTCAAACTTAAGGACTGTTGTCCTTAACTTTTGAACTTAAAACTCAAAGTTAAGGACAGATAGTCCTTACGTTTTAAACTTGAAACTATAAGTTAAGGACTTCCTGTCCTTAACTTTTAATCTTTGAAAACAAAGTTAAGGACAGACTGTCCTTAAGTTTTGAAATTACAAGTCGAACTTACGGACTCCTGTCCTTAAGTAATTTTGAAAATTTAAAAGAAACAAAAACAAGGTAAGAAGAAAGAAATTTTGAAAATTCAGACATCTGCTCAAATAAGAATAATCTAAATGAATCCAATTTATAGCAAAAACTTAAAAGAGTTGATAAACATAAGTGGATATATCTACTCTTCTCTATGCTTTCTTGAAAATGGATGGAGAGCCGGAGAATATATACAAGCTGTTCTATTATGACCAATTCTTCTGCAACGACCACATTTGAATGTTATTTTTGATGACTCGGTAGCAGGAATATGCCTTTTCTTTTGCCTTCTACCTGGTGGCACTTTGAAATCTGGAGGTTTAACAGTTTGTGACTTAACACTCTCTAGTACAATCTAAGAATCAGTATGTCCTACAGGATGTATTTGTCTTTCATATGTTTTCAGCCAATATTCCTTTAAGTACCAGTGCGAACAAAAGTTGGACTTCTTAATGTTTCTCTTCTCGATAGCTGCAATAGCATGTGTGCATGGTAATTCATCAAATTGAAACTGAAAACAATCACATGTTCTTTTGTTTAAGTCCACCAAGAAAGTTATTCCTTCTTCTTCAACTCTAGAACGCCATGAATCAACAGGGAAGACCTTCAATGTTGAAAAATTATAAGTTAGTACATTATGTTAAATAATATTAAAATCATAAGATAAACATAGAACATAATACTTACATTCAAAGTAAATGCTAAATCTATTATTTTCTTCAATTCCTCCTCTACCCAACAAGAAACATCATAAAATGTTCCTTCTGCTTTATTTCTTCTTTCATAAAACCAACGTTGTAGCTTCACTTGAATGAAATCCATCATTCTTAATATAGACAGCTCCTTGCTTCTAATAGGACAGAATTCATTGACTCAACTATGTTTGTTGTGAGCATGTCATATCTTCGTCATGGACTACAAGAACGTTCCCATCTTTCCGGTGGTTCTTCCATCAAGTAGTCATAAGTCTTTTTATCTACTTTTGCTATATCTGACATGTATAGGTCAAGTTCTTTGCGCCTGTATACTCTTGCAGCACTTTGGAAAAGTTTTATGACCTCACTTTTCACCTTCCTTCGCTTTAGGTTCTGCTCCAAATGATAGATGCAAATCCCATGATGGCTTTCAGGATATACCTTTGCAATTCCATTTGCAATAGCTTGATGGCTGTCTGATAAAAAAATTAAATTCTCACGGCTCCCAATTGCATTGCGAAGCTGACTAAAGTACCACTCATAGGAATTGTTATTTTCAGATTCTGCTATTCCAAAGGCTAGTGGGAAAATTTGGTTATTTGCATCCTTTGAAACTGAAATCATTAAAACGCCACGAAATTTTGACTTCAAAAAAGTTGCATCAACAGCAATCACCGGTCTACAATGATTCCAACCAGCTATTGATGATCCATATGCATAAAACATATAAAGAAACCTGAAAATACAATATAAAACAAGGTTAACAGAAGTTAAGGACAGGTAGTCCTGAACTTCGGATTACAAGGTTAAAAGTTAAGGACAGTCAGTCCTTAACTTAGAGTTTCAAGTTATAAAGTTAAGGACATGTGGTCCTTAACTTTGATTTCAAAGTTCAAAACTTAAGGACCAACAGTCCTTAACTTTGAATTACAAGTTCAAAAGTTAAGGACAGCCAGTCCTGAACTTCTGGTTACAACTCAAAAGTTAACAAGGTTAAAGACAGCATGACCTAAATTTTATAAAACGTACCAATAAACTTTTTTTTGATTGTTTACCTATTGTTGTCGTCTATCTTTATGTTAGTATAAGTTCCCGTGTTTTTACTTGTCATCATATACAAGTATGAAGACAATAATTCATAATTCTCTTCGGGAGTTCCTCTTATTAAAGCGGAAGCATGTTGAATAGCACGCCACGCCTTGTGATATCCAATGTCTAGTCCATGCAATTTTTGCATCTCTGCCATGACAAAAGCTGGTGTAACTTCAAACCTTGGGTCCCGAAGATTGTCGATAATGTAACCACTAATCAACTTTGAAGTAGAATGCCTTTGATCTGCTTTCATAGTGTTAATGGAGCAGTCATGCTTTTTCTCAATCTTTACTATCTTGAACAGTGTTGAATCTTTAATTCTGAAAGCACGCACACACCAACAACACCTATCATCATTGCATTTCAACGAATATCTTGTTGAGCTTGATCTAACAACCTTGAATTCAAAATATCCTTTAATTGCTATATTGGAAAAACAGTTAATTATACTCTTCTTCTTGCTAAATACTGATCCGACTTTTATTTCTTCCAACGAAGCATTTTCTCTTAATATCGTAGTTGGGAATTCTTTTTGTTTCAAATTTGATCTTCGTCTAGTTAGTTGAGTAGAGGTTTTTTCAGCAACTTCTTCGATTACCGATGCACTCTCTAAGACTTGAATACCCAAAGCTTGTTCGTTGTCAATCTCTATAATGCTTTGTCCTTCTACTTGAATAGAATCAAATGTTTGAAGCACCTCTTCAGTTATTGGTTGAGCTTCAACCATATCTATTTCCATTATCTGTTGGCATTTGTCTTGATTGTCATGTTGAGTTTCTCTGTTGACATGTGTTTGAAGCACCTCTTCAGTTATTGCTTGAGCTTCAACCATATCTATTTCCATTATCTGTTGGCATTTGTTTTGATTGTCATGTTGAGTTTCTGTGTTGACATGTTCATTGCTTGTTGATCCAAAAACTCTTTCCGAAATATCAACAATGAAACGACAGCCCTTGAAGAGTGAATGAGTTTTTAGTAACTCTATACATGTGTGAAGATCTAAATCTTTGGATACAAGCATTCCTTTGCTTGTTCCAAGGTTGATATCAAACCATATCACTGCTTCAAACTTGTGTCTATCCAATTCAATAACCTCAAAGATCTGTTTAATGAAATTTTCAAGCCGAATTGACTCAGGTACTAGAACGAGCTTTGTTTGATGATCAAGATATTTATAGTTTCAGTCCATCTACCATTAAAAGCAAATATAATACATATTGTTTCCATCCTGCAAGTCAAGAGAATGGGAAACTCAGGACATATTTTATAAAGCAATCCTTGTATAATTAAGAACAGGTACTGTAAGTTCAAGACCAAGTTAAGGACCAAGTGTCCTTAACATTTGAACTTGGAATTCAAAGTTAAGGACTGTCTATCCTTAACTTTTGAACCTATAATTGAAACTTAAGGACTGCCTGTCCTTAACTTTTGAACTTGGAATTCAAACTTAAGGACTGCCTGTCCTTAACTTTTGAACCTTCAAGTCAAACTTAAGGACTTCCTGTCCTTAACTTTTGAACCTGCATGTAAAACTTAAGGACTTCCTGTCCTTAACTTTTGAACCTGCAAGTAAAACTTAAGGACTTCCTGTCCTTAACTTTTGAACCTGCAAGTCAAACTTAAGAACTCATGTCCTTAACTTTTCAACTGTAATTCAAACTCAAGGACATGTTTTAACTAATAAGTGTAAGTTAAGGACCAAATGTCCTTAACTTTTTCAATTTGAAACTCAAACTTCAGGACTTAGTGTCCTTTACTTTTTCAAAACAATTTGCAAAACTATGACAGTATGTCCTTAATATACAGAAGAACAGCAACAAAGTTAAGGACATTGTGTCCTTAACTTTTTCAATTCAATTTGCAAAATGAGGACACTATGTCCTTAATATTATGTGCTCAATTTTTATAGAATTATCATAGGAGGCGATGTCTTTAACTTTATCAATCCAGAAATTCAAAAAAAAAAAAATTTAAATTTCTACTTACTGTATAAAAATCAATAAAAATCGGAAAGAGTATAACTATGTCGAAATAAAAATCAATAGAAACACATAAAAGTATAACTTACTGTAAATCTATGTCGATTTTTGGATGAGAATGTTGAATTTTTGAAATCGGAAGAGAATTTTCTTCAATTTCGACGATCACAGTGAAGTGCTTTTGCGCTGCTGCTGCTGCTTCTGCTTCTGCTCGTTAATGTTAGCGTAGGTATAAGTTATAGCAGAAGGGTATTTTCGTCCAGTCAAGTATAAGTTTATTAAACCAGTGGCTAAAGACTAAAGACATTTAAAACACTGGCTTTAAAATAAAGACAGGTGCTGTTAGTGGCTATTTGTGCACATCGCCCTGTAATTGACTAGTTTCTACTTCAAATTTAAATATAATAAAAGAAGTAAATTGTTGGTTTTAGAGACAAAATTTAAAATTAAGTTTCAAAATTTGTATAATAACATTACAAATTTGCACTTTGTCGCTAGTATCGCTTCCGCTTGTGTCAGTCCTTTGCCATGACCCATTTAAGCGAGTGATTTTTATGGTGTGGCTCACACAACTTATATTTTGTGGACTCATATTTTACATATTTTGGTCCACAAAATTTTGGGACCATATAATTGTGAGACAAAAAAGAGGCCTGATATAACTAGTGTGAGGCATAAAATAAAAAATTTCCATTTAAGCTGTTCGTTTGTGATTACATCCTCTTTTATGGCTTGATTTTCTCACTCCGTATTAATTCAATCCCTAAAACAAATTAGCACTTTCAATGTTGTTCCAACAACTTGTGTCTTAGTTCATGGAGTCGCGTTATTCTTTGAAAGCACTTTCAGATACTGTGGCTGAAATAGGAACAATTGACACACGTCTCGAATTCTGGATCCATAGTGAAACAATGACTATTATTTTGCATTACCTCTCAGATAATCCTTATATATTAATGGTATAAATTTTGAAACACAACTCGGTTAATAACACTGGAATAGCTTCGGCAAAGTGTACTTAATACGCCCATTAATATACCTTTTACATTGGGAGTAATATATCACATGTATTCTTTAAGTACGTATAGTTTATCAGTAATATACTATACTGTTATATACATATATTGTATTTATTATATACCATTAATAAGTATATAAATAACGTTTGAAGCTATAGTTGAATTTGTTTCAATTTTTTTCTGATTTATCTCAATTGGCATGGTCAAATTTTCTGAAACTTAATGGTTCTCCATATTATAACCATCCAAAGCTTTTTTATGGTCCAAATTTTTCACAGACGTCAAACTTTTTTATTTTTTCCTGTTGAGTCTCCAATGAACTCTGAAAAGCTGTTTAGTGGTCTTCCTACCATCCATATTTGCTTCAGTAGGCTCGTCTAATGGTGTTCTAGCATGTAATTTTGATTTGAAAAAGCTGAATTAGATATTTCATATTTAGCCAAGCTTCTAAAAACTGCTCATTTTGATAAATGTTTTGCCAAAATAGTTATTTAGAAAAGTACTTTTAGAGAGAAGTAATTTGTATTTGTCTAATTCATTTGAGAATTTTTTTAGTATTTGATAAGCTAAATGTGGTCAATCTTTTCAAAAAGTACTTTTGAGCATCAAATTACGAAATAAGATATTACTAAGATTCAATTTACCATTAGTATTACTTAAATAGAGAAGAAATTATAAATATTTCTATATGAAAGGCTTTAATTAAGCCTTTTATTTTTATTTAGTTAAAATTTAAAACATAAAATAAAAATATATTAAGACTTGTTATTAATATAAATATAGTTAAATAAACAAAATAATAAGAGAAGAATAGTTAAGTATTTATATTTGCAAGATATATTGATATAATGAATGATTATTTTATAAATATAAATTTTTTGATAAGGATATTTTTATCTTGAAATAATTAATTTTCTCCCAATAACAATAGAATTATTTATGCGATTGCTCAAAAGCACTTTTTAATTTTGATCAAAAACCTCAAATCTCAAAATATTTTTCCAAATACAAATAACTTTTGAAAAAATGACATTGTATAGCCGCTCTCAAAATAATAGTCCAAATATATATATATATATATATATATATTTCTGAATGATGCATACAAAATATTTAGATTTTATATATTTTTACAGGCTATCAAATATAAACTTTCGGTCACAGACTAAAAGTGATCTTTGCCAGCTCTTGGTCAGAGAGGCTATAAGTTTTCAAAGTAGGCTATTAGTGAAAAGTTCCCAAAAACTACCCGTCTACCAGTGACCCGGTCTATCATCCGACCCAATACCACCAAGCCCAATCTAGCGGCGGCGTTGCTACCATCACCACCACAACACCACCACCAGCGCCCTGTGCCCTTATGAAATATAGCCGCACAGTATCCCAACTCATGTTTTGAGTCCTATAAACTGAATTTCAAGGTATATAGGAAATATCACTGCACTCACTATCTTTTCTGTTATATACTAAGCATAATTTTGTACGCTCTCATTTTATATAAGTTTTATATCCTAATTAGAATTTTTGCAAATGTTATTTTAGATACTGAAATACTACAACAACAACAACAACTAAGCCTCAGTCTAAAACAAGTTGGGGCCGACTGTTGGCAACGTATTTGTTTGTGTTGCTTTTTGAAGTTGAAGATACAATGATGATAGGAACGGCTTGTTCGAGGAGAAGTATATCTACATTTTCTTGTTTATGCCAGAGAATTAAGCAGACAGGTCAGTGTTTCTTCTCGTGAACTATATTATTCATATCATTATTGAGAATGTTCTTTTCAATCAATTTGTTTGTTGGTTCAATAATACTTGTGTACTAGTTATGGGTATACTAGTGATTACATAAACTAAATTTTTTTTCTTGATAAGGTAAAAATAGATTTTTTTCCAGCAGTTGTTTATTTTTAGTAGAAAATATAAATAATTTTAGTACTTCTTATTTTTATTTTGTACAATATTGGCCTGAGATGAGTTTATATTGAGTAATATAGCCGACCAGAACTTGTTCAGGACTGAGGCGTGGTAGTTGTTATTATTGTGGTATAACGTAAAAATTGATAGATGTACTGTAAGATCCAATCTATATTATAGTTTTTCTTGCCCTCAAATAATGGGAAACTTGAGGCTACTATGTGCACCAAATGCAGATAGTAGGATTTTTCATGAAACGTAGAACTTTGCAAAAACTTGATATTTCTCCAATAGGCACTAAGATGATGATGGTAATAGTCTTTATTTCTTTGATGTTGCAGAACGTGAAATTGTTAAGATGTTTGAAATGTCAAGGCCTAAGGCTGAAACAGAAGGTTTCCAAGAGAAGCAAGCACCCTTAAGAAGGGGCTCTGTAAGGATATTAGATGAGAGGTTCATCAGGATTCTGAAGATATTTAAGTGGGGTCCTGATGCTGAAAAGGCCTTGGAGGTGCTAAAGCTGAAAGTAGACAATGAGTTGGTTCGAGAGGTTCTGAAAATAGACATGGAGATCAGTGTGAAACTTCAGTTTTTCAAGTGGGCTGGTAAAAGGAGGAACTTTGAACATGACTCTACTACCTACCTGGCTTTGATTCGATGTCTTGAAGAAGCTGGGCTAACAGGTGAAATGTGGAAGACGGTGCAAGAAATGGCTCGGAGTACATGTGTCATTACTCCTGCCGATCTCTCTGAGACTGTAAGAATTCTAGGCAGGGCAAAAATGGTAAACAAAGCACTATCAGTATTTTACCAGATTAAAGGCCGCAAGTGCAAGCCAACTGCAACCACTTACAATTCCATTATTTTGATGCTGATGCAAGAAGGTCAACATGAAAAAGTACATGAGCTCTATACCGAAATGTGTAATGAAGGAAATTGTTTCCCTGATACAGTTACATATAGTGCTCTTATATCATCCTATGCAAAACTAGGTCGTGATGATTCTGCTATTAGGTTGTTCGATGAAATGAAGGACAATGGTTTATATCCCACTGCAAAGATATATACTACCTTGTTGGCAGTTTACTTCAAAATGGGTAGGGTGGAAACGGCTTTAGCATTAGTCAATGAGATGAAAGAGAAAGGTTGTGCTCCAACTGTGTATACTTACACTGAATTGATAAGAGGGCTTGGTAAAGCTGGTAGACTCGAGGAGGCATATTCTGTATTTCTGTCCATGCTAAAAGAGGGATGTAAGCCGGATGTTGTGTTGATAAACAATGTGATAAACCTTCTAGGAAGGGGAGGACGTATAGGTAACGCTCTTAAACTGTTTGATGAAATGGAATCATTAAACTGTAAACCGAATGTTGTGACATATAATACTATTATAAAATCCCTGTTTGAATCCAGAGCTCCTGTATCCGAGGCTTCATCTTGGTTTGAAAAAATGAAAGCAAATGGTGTTGCTCCAAGCTCTTTTACTTATTCAATACTTATTGATGGGTATTGCAAGAAAAATAGAGTTGAAAATGCTTTAGCCTTGCTTGAGGAGATGGACGAGAAGTGTTTTCCTCCTTGTCCAGCTGCCTATTGCAGCTTAATCAATAGTCTTGGAAAAGCAAAACGCTATGAAGCTGCAAATGAGTTGTTTCAAGAACTAAAAGAGAGTTGTGGATCTAGTAGTTCTCGGGTATATGCTGTAATGATAAAGCATTTTGGGAAATGTGGGCGTTTGAATGAGGCTGTCGATCTTTTCAACGAGATGCAAAAACTGGGATGTTCTCCTGATGTCTATGCATACAACGCAGTCATGTCCGGGCTGGTGAGAGCAGGTATGCTAGATGATGCTTTTTCCATGCTTCGTGCTATGGAGGAAAGTGGTTGTGCTCCCGACTTAAACTCATTTAACATAATACTAAATGGTTTGGCCAAGACCAGTGATCCACAACGGGCGATCGAGATGTTTACAAAGATGAAACATTCAACAATTAAACCCGATGCTGTCTCTTACAACACCATTCTTGGTTGTCTTAGTCGTGCTGGCATGTTTGAGGAAGCTGCAAGGCTGATGAAAGAGATGCGTGCCAATGGTTTTGAATATGATCTTATTACATACTCATCAATACTTGAAGCAGTTGGTCATATTAACGGGGATGGTACATATCAAACTTCCTAAAAGAGCATTGGTATGTTAGACTCTTTCGGTGCTTTTCTTTATTTTCGCTATTTAATAGTTGGGTTCCTTTTGAATCATCTCGGCCTGGCAATATAGACTTGCTTTGTATAGGGTTTCGCAGTAATAATTGCAGCACTTTTGTTACTCTTCCTGCTGGTGTTGACTTCTGCAGATATGTAATTGGCTTTTATGGTAAAGGTTTGAACTGGGGTATGTTCAGTACAATATTAGCATGCATGCAGAATCTTTCACCTGTTTGCTCAAATCGCTGGGTGGAATTAGGTTTGGCAGAATCCAGTAAAAAGGACGGGAATGGTGATCTTTTGGCAGGTGGGACCTGATTAGTTCCTTTTGTTTCGTGATTCTCTCTGTGTTATATTTCTCTAATCCTCTCTGTGAATGTTTGAAACTAGTTATAGATTTCCGTTTAGGCTATGTTTATTCTACCTGTTGGTAGCTTCTTTATTCTGAGAACTTGCTTTAAGAACTGTGATTTGAATTAAGAATTCCTTATTAATCTTCTTCTGGAAGGGAGGGATGGAGAAAAGGCAGGTTTCACTTGTCCACTGCTTTGGATAGTTTTTCACTAGAGAATTCAATTACTTTGCGCTCCAGGATATTTAACAGCTGCTCTTTCCATCTCCTTAGAGTGTGCCAAAAGGTATCTTTTATATACGGGCTTGGTATTCCTCAAGATTCAATAGAATATCCTCTTTTCTTTTCTAATAACGGTTGTGTTCGAGCCAGCTTGTGAGTCTGATCTTTGCTGCTAAAAATTGGAGATTCAGGACTCAGAAATCACTATGGAGTATGGACTATGGAGCGAGTTTACTGAAGCCAAGTACTGTAAGAGAGCACAGAATGGCTGAAGTTTGGGATTATGGACAATCATATTTGGAGAAGATTGATGGAAATCAAACCAAAGGTGCAGGAGTTCATTCTATGGAAACCTAATGCTGAAACTACATTGTTTTGATGGGATAATTGGTCTGGTCTTGGGGCTATTGCGAAGTTTCTGTTACCTTGGCCAAAATCTGGTAGAATTGAATTCAATACCTTCTTGGAGGATGATAGGTGGCAAGTCGATGAGCTGAAGGAGAAACTCCTCCACAGTTCACACATTTTGAAACAAGTGGTAGCAACTAAAGTTGGGACAGCTTGATAGCATGGATCAGGCCATCTGGAAACCTGCTATAAAATTGAATTTTCTCATGTAGATCAGCTTAACGAGTCATGAAAATCCTTGTCTTCACACAAAGATATTGCACAAAAAACTTCCATTCAAAGTGTCATTTTCTATGTTGAGCTGCTGAAACAGATATTATCTACAGATAATGTTATAAGGAGATTTTGGATAACTGGGACAGGCAGATGCTTCTGCTGCAGAAAACCTCAGGAAGATTTCATATCTCACTTTTTCTTTTCTAGCTAGCAATCAAGGAGAGTACGGCAACATTTTGGAAATGTTCTGGGAATTAGAGAAGCTGCTGACTTGAGGCAAACTCTGATGACATGATGGTTAGTTAAGCCCAAGAATGAAGTTCATGCCTTTATATTACAATGCCAAATATCTATCATATGCTGTGAACTTTAGAAACAAAGATGTGCTGCCAAGTATAGTGGAGTGCATTGTTCCTTGAATGATTTTCCAGATTCTCCTTAGCTGTTATGCAGTTGAAATGCCATTTCAAAAGCCATGAATGGACAGGCACATGGACCGAGATTTGCGCCAGCATTGAAGGCGTCAAACCTGGATTGTTGATTACTGAAGTACAGGGGGAATTAGCATAAGTGGTAGACTTGAGTTAAACATTGATGGTAGTTGTAATCCTGTTTTGAAAACTGAAGGTGTTGGCCGGATTGTTAGGGGAAAAATGGGGATTTGATCATGGCATTTGCTAAACCACTTCAGTTCTGCACTAATAATTCTGCAGAATGTGAAGCTGCTTTTTTCGGTCTTTTCTGGTGCTCAATGTAGGAAGTTTGCCATGTCAATTTTGAGATGGACTCTCTCCTAATTGTGAACATGCTAACTGGAGTTTCATCACCTTCCTGGGAGCTTGAGGAGGATATATTGAAGATGAGAAAAATCATACAGCAGCAGCAGATAACAGTATAACATTGCTAGAGGGAAGGGAATACTGTTGCTTATGCCTTGGCTAAATTTGGAGGGGAGTAGCCGCCTATCTTGATAGCTGAGATCTTCCTAACTATACAGGACTTGCTACAGGAAGTGAAGGGTGCTCTCGGGCTTGACAAAACTCAGATGCCCAGCTTTAGAGTCAACACCAGGCAGCTTTGTAATTGTACAGACTTGGTCGACCAGATCGTTGTAATTTTGTTAGCTATATATAGGCCTTTATTTATGCTTTATATAAGTCAGTTTGTGGCAAGCTAACACTGACCAAATATAAAGGAGGAGTCCTCCTCATCTCATCTTTGGCAAGTCACATAAAATGTAATATATGACACACTTTCTGTTTTAGTTTGTCCCTAAAGAATGACACATTTCTCTTTTTACAAGGAGAGAGAATGAAAATACATGTGAAATCTCACCACTCATTTGAAAGGGTAATTTTGGTACTTTGCATATATTTAGTCTACATGTCAAAAGTTTCTTTAATATCTTAAATTCCATGTCCGATCAAACACTTTCACATAAAATGGGATGTAGGGAGCGCTATTTGTGTGCCTTTTGGTGAATTAAAATGGGATGTAGGGAGTGTTATTTATGTGCATTTTGGTGAAACATTGCTTATTTATCAGGAAAATGGAGCATATGGCAGGACTATTGATAGGAGGATTATTAACTAGATAATGAGCTGATCCAACTCTTTATCCTACACTAACCAAATATAGGATGAAGCTTTGTTTGAAGATGACTTGCTCGGGGATGTGTTGTCCTACTATCCAGTCTGTAAAACAAACATGTAATAGCAGATTGTCTAAGTTTATATTTAAGAACCTAGTGATTATTTATTTACCTGAAAGACGTTGTTTTTCTCAATCATTCTCTTTATTTCATATAGGTGTTTATACTATCATCTTGGTTAAATTTCAGGACGATCTGAAAATACCTTCTCTAGTTTACAAAATAACAAACACCTGACACATTTGAGAAACTGAGAGATGCCTTTGCTTTGATTTAATGAGTTATTACTAGTTAAACTCCAGTATTACTTGGTTTAGGGTGCATGATGTCATCAAAATTTGTTGAGATGTCGCCAACCACCTGTGAGATATTTTTGACTTGATGAACTTCCCTTTTTCTCTTAATTTTTTCCTCAGCTAGTAAATGACTCCAAGAGAGAAAAGTAAAAAGTACAAAAAAAAAAAAAAAAAAAAATTCCAACAATAGCAGAGTCCATGCTAAAACTAAATTCCCTTTAGCCCCTCATGATTAAAAGAAAAACTGAATTCCCCCTACTCTTGTAGCTTCTTTGGGAGAAGTACAATGGTCTGCCAGAGGAAAATTGAAAACTCAGGAATTGCTAGATGCTTATCAACAGGAATGGAAAAACTCAAGAATTGCTCAAGTTCTGTTTGACATTGAGCAAAGAATAGAATCAGAATCTATTTCTTCGAAAGATACAAAGATGAATGACCGGTGAAGTAGTAAAAAGTTCTCAATGACAATGTTATTCTGTTCCACTTCTACTGTTTAGTCGTGGAGGTGTCTGTCATTTTCAAGTTTCAACCAGAAGGAAGGTCCGTCCATCTAATGTCAAACTAGTGTGCATGTTCTTGTAGTTTCCTAGTTCATACTTCTGATACTGAACCTGGACTTTTTGTCGTGGTTCTCTCTATTCTATGCTGGCGCGATATTGCCTTTGTGTGAAATTGTTAAAAAACTTAAATGGAAATGCCATTGGTTTTGTTGTCAGATCAGGAAAAATAATATTACTTCTTTGCAGGTTATCCCGCTGGCGTTGGCTGTCCTAGTTGTTGGCTCATCTGGTCTAAAATTCTCTCTTCAATTTGCTAAACGCAAAAGCTATGCATTATGCAGTGTTAGTAGACTGTATTTGTAAAATAATTCTGGAAATATAAATGAGTATAAACAGAAATGAACATAAACAGAAATGACATAAAACCTATTCGAGCCCACTGAATTCACAGTGTTTCCTTAAGGAATTTAATCCCCTCCTAGTACCCAAGGTTATGGATTATTTCCTCCCAGGATAGAACGAATTACACACTGGTGTAGCGGTACTTCAAACCCCAGTGTTTCAGCGAACACAAAGTTCGGTAGCAAATCACACTTACTTTTTGCTTTGTTTGATGCTAAAAGTATGCAGAAGAAGGAGAAGAAACTCAGAAAATCGTAGTGAAATTCTGAGCAGAATAGTGTTGTATTTATAGCCAAAGTTAGGCTGAAATCTGAAGAGGTGCAACTCTTCAGAATGGCTGTTTATGCAAAACGCCCACAGCATAAATGCCATTACATAAATGGCCATTTACTCAATAATAAAGAGGGAAAATAAAGAGGGAAAATTGAAGAGGGTAGTTACTTTTCTGTTACCAAAACAGAAAAACGGATTGGATTTAATATTAATATTTAATATTAATATTTTGTTATTAAAACAAATATTTAATAACATTTCTGTTAATATTTTACTATTAACAAATAAATTTGGTCCAAAAAGTTAATCAATCAATNGATTCCACACATATTTGACATTTTGATTTGTCACATTCAAACTTGGGCAATACTTCCAAATTAATCATTTTCCGTAAGGTTTTATAATTGACATGACCCAAACGTATATGCCATAATTCATTTGACTCAAGTAAGTAAGACGAAGCTGAAATTTTATTATTATTTTCAACAACCATTACATTCAGCTTGAAAAGGCCCTCAGTGAGGTAACCTTTTTCTACAAACATTTCATTCTTACTTATTACAACCTTATCGGAAACAAAAACACATTTAAAACCATTCTTAACAAGAAGTCCAGTAGAGACTAAATTCTTCCTAATCTCGGGAACATGAAGGACGTTGTTCAAAGTCACCACTTTGCCGGAAGTCATTTTGAGAAATATCTTCCCACATCCTTCAATCTTCGCCTTTGAAGCATTTCCCATAGAAATCGTCTCATCGGGTCCAACAGGAGCATAAGAAGCAAAAGCTTCTCTAACAGCACAAACATGGCGAGTGGCTCCAGAATCAATCCACCACTCTTTAGGATTGCCCACCAAGTTGCATTCGGAAAGCATGGCACATAAATCATCAACATCATCACGCTTTTCAACCATGTTTGCTTGACCCTTCTTCTTGTCTTTCTTTGGAGCACGACACTCCGTAGATTTGTGTCCAGTTTTCTCACAGTTGTAGCAGTTTTCACTGAACCGCTTCTTGCTTGGGTTGTATTTCGGTCCAGAAGCCTTCTTCCTCTTTTTGTTCTCTTCAACAATATTTGCTCCCATTATTGTTGAATTTCCACGGCCTCTCTTTTCCGCAGCTTTGTTGTCCTCTTCGATTCTCAACCGAACAATGAGATCTTCAAGGGACATCTCCTTGCGTTTGTGTTTCAAGTAGTTTTTGAAGTCCTTCCACAAAGGAGGCAACTTCTCAATCATCGCTGCTACTTGAAATGCTTCATTGATAACAAGACCTTCAATGAAATTTCTATTAGTAAAAATACCAAGATTACTACTTTCAACATCAATATTAATTTGAGTTATACCTTCAGCAAGGAGATCGTGAATAATCACTTGCAATTCCTGGACTTGGGTAATAACAGACTTGCTATCTACCATTTTGTAGTCCAAAAACTTTGCAGCAACAAACTTTTTCAACCCGGCATCTTCGGTTTTGTATTTCTTTTCAAGCGCAGTCCACAGTTCCTTTGACGTTTCCACGCCACTGTAGACGTTATACAAAGCATCCTCCAGCCCGCTTAGAATATAATTCTTGCACAAAAAATCTGAATGCTTCCACGCCTCAATCACGAGAAAGCGTTCAGTTTCTGGAGTTTCGTCGGACAGCACAGGAACATCTTCCTTGATGAACTTCTGGAGACTTAGAGTAGTCAAATAGAAGAACATCTTTTGCTGCCAGCGCTTGAAATCAATCCCGAAAAATTTTCCGGGTTTCTCCGCCGGTGCCAATGCTGCCGGTGTCGTTCGACTTGTTGAGGCATTGGCAGTCACCATTGGAACAACTTGGTTCTCATTTCATTAGTTTTCTGTAAAAGAATGACACAAACGTTAAAATTGCGTAGATTTTAATAGAGTACAAAACCACAAAGGTTTTACTCTTCCAGAAACAGTAAGTACAAATACAGAAATCAAATTAAATTCCTTAAGCTTGTTAGTAGACTGTATTTGTAAAATAATTCTGGAAATATAAATGAGTATAAACAGAAATGACATAAAACCAATTCGAGCCCACTGAATTCACAGTGTTTCCTTAAGGAATTTAATCCCCTCCTAGTACCCAAGGTTATGGATTATTTCCTCCCAGGATAGAACGAATTACACACTGGTGTAGCGGTACTTCAAACCCCAGTGTTTCAGCGAACACAAAGTTCGGTAGCAAATCACACTTACTTTTTGCTTTGTTTGATGCTAAAAGTATGCAGAAGAAGGAGAAGAAACTCAGAAAATCGTAGTGAAATTCTGAGCAGAATAGTGTTGTATTTATAGCCAAAGTTAGGCTGAAATCTGAAGAGGTGCAACTCTTCAGAATGGCTGTTTATGCAAAACGCCCACAGCATAAATGCCATTACATAAATGGCCATTTACTCAATAATAAAGAGGGAAAATATTAATGGGTAGTTACTTTTCTGTTACCAAAACAGAAAAACGGATTGGATTTAATATTAATATTAACATTTCTGTTAATATTTTACTATTAACAAATAAATTTGGTCCAAAAAGTTAATCAATCAATCGATCATTTGAAGCCGAAGCCGAAGTCGAGCGAGCGACGACGACGGCGGCGCGAGGCTTGCCTTCTTCTCAACTCTTTAAGAGATAGAAGAAGAGCAATTGCTTATATACCCATAAAAAACCTCTTCCTCTTCCAATATGGGACAATGCCCATTTGCCAAGGGAGAGAACTTAAAATTTCACTCAAAAATTTTATTTCCCTCCATTTCCCATTCACCCTCTTTTAAGTATTTAATATATTAATTAAACACATCCAAAACCCAACATGCAGTGCATATCAGTCCCTTGAAGCCATGCAGCACTTGGGCATTGCAATCCCGAAATTCATATATATCTAGGGGACAGCAACCAGTCAAAAGCCATAAGTTATTCCTAGTTTTTAGAACAATTGCTGGAGGAGGAAGAAGCTGATCTTATCCGTCTTGAGGTGCAACTGTTGATTCGCGTGGCAGGGCTTAACGTATAATGAGCTGACCAACTGCCATAAATCACTTGGACATAGGCTTGGTCAACGAGAGTTATCATATGTTGTGTTGGGAACCTCTTAAATTATGTTTACAATGGGAAATCATTCTTGATAGAAATGCGAGAGATCACTGAAGGCTATATTTTGATACTGAAAATACATGTAATTCAGGTTATGCTGAGTGGGCGTCTGATTGGAACAATTGTATATAAAACCTTACTTTGGATATTACAACAATGTCTGGATGTTTTTTTAGTATGAGGTGTATGGTTATGGTGAGATTTCTCTCCAATTACAGCTACTGTTATAGCATCAATATCAAATGCCTTTGAATGAAATAGCAACACACTAATATTGGAGTATGTAGGAGAATCCAAGTTCCAGAGAATTCAGAAGGGGCTGAAATAATTCTTGAATTCATTAACAATAATGTGAGGAAGAAAGTAATAGGCAGACATTACTTTATTTTGCTTAAAAACTAAAGTTACTTGTAGTAGTAGGCACAGTAAGGAAAGAGGCTATAGCTTGTTTGGCCCAGCTTTTTTTTGGGCCAAAAGTGGTTTTTTTGACTGCTTTGGTTTATCTAGTCTTGATAAATGAAAGGCACCCGCTCTCGGGGCTCGACGAAACGGAAAGTTTCAGCATGTTGAAACTTCTTGGGGTTAGCAGTGAAAGAAAGAGCCCGGCATTCATTTCTTCATGAATATTCATAGCCGAGTCTACTAAAAGGCCTGAGTTATATAGCTGACTGCGAGAAGGAAGGTTCAAGCTACGGCTGCCCCATGGGATGCTCATTTGAAACCTTTGTCCGGTCAATGCGAGAAAGAGAGAAGTGATGTAAACATAAGAATGGAAGGTTTGCTTGGCAAAAAATTGAGGTGTTTGGTCAAGCTTTTAGATGGAAAAAAAGTGCTTTTGAGGAGAAGCAGAAGCAGTTTTTGAGAAGCAGAAAAAAATACTTCTCTCCAAAAGCACTTTTGAGAAAATACATTTAGAAGCAGTTTTCAAAAGCTTGGCCAAACACTAATTACTGCTCAAAAGTGCTTTTCAAATTAATTAGCCAAACACAAACTGCTTCTCGCCAAAAACACTTTTAAGAAAAGCACTTATCAAAATAAGCTGATTTTAGAAGCTTGGCCAAACATGGTATAACAAGTGAACTGGGCTAAAACAATAGACAATTCTCGGTCAAGCATTTACGGTGCTATAGTACGTCAATGAGAATGAACCCGGATCCCTCCAATTCACCTTCCTAATCTTGAATGTCTTTCTAGTTGCAAAAGCTGGCCGAATACTACGGTTATTACGGGGAGAAAATCTTAATAGCCGTCGTGAATTGCTCCTTTACTTTTTCTCTTGTTTTCCTATGAATATTCCCCACAGGCCACAGTGGTGGATCTAGACTAAAAGCAGCAGCAGATTTAACAGAACCGACTGCGTTTAGCTCCAACTATATGTGCGGGGGGCAGAGGGAAAAAATGGCTCATATATAAAAGACCAGAACCCATCGACTCTAAATCTTGGATTCATCACTGCCCGCCCACAAAAGTCACACCAACTGACTTTCCCCTTGTAACAGAGTATTTGATTCCCATATCTTGATAAAAGTAAGTGCTAAACCACAAAGCAGCTATATATTCGGCAAGAGTTGTTTAGGTTTACAGACAATTTCCATAGTAATAAAAGAAGATTTTCATAGTACGGAAGTTGTGATCTATATAATGTTATTATAGCTGCTGAAACTACATCCAAATACATTCTTACACTACATTAAGCTTATTGTCTTGCATATTCTGCAGGACGGTCAGAGAATAACATGCAAGATATAATACAACAATTGAAAATAGCCAACAAGCGATGAATAGAGATAATCCGCCTAAATCATCCACTAACATTTTCAGCAGAAATGTCATTATCTTCATCACTTCCTTGGCGTATTCTTGCGATTTCTGCGTGTGCTCGTTCCACAATCTGCCTCTTTTGCATTTCCAAGTCTCTGTGAAAGTCCATCCTCATTTTCTCCAGTTCCAGCATTTGTTGTCTCTTGCTATTCTCAATCTTCACATATATCTCACTAAATTTATGAATAGAATCTGCTATTAGTTTGAAAGAAGCACCACTCCTTCCCGGTTGTCCATTTCTTGATCTTTTTGGTGGAAGATCCTCAGAATCATCATCGTCACCATCAGCAGATCCCGAGTTAGCAGGACTGTCCCTCATCTCATCCAAACCATTGGCACGATTCAAATAAACTTTGGGGCTCATGAAAACATACTCACCGGAGTCCACTCCACATGAAATGCCAGCTTGTAGTGGAGTTGACGTTAGTAACATGTCCATCTTTTTGAAGTACACCCACTTACTGGCGTTACTTCCATTCTCCGCAAACTTCATCTTCTCCTTTTTGTATTTCTTTTTTAGAGTATCCAAACGGTTACGGCATTGGGTGTCTGTCCTCTCAAGTTTTGATCCCTGTGACACTTTCTCTGCAACTTCTTGCCATTCGTCTGATCGAAGACTCTTCCTCCCATGTCGAACAAACCTATCCCCCCACGCTTCCAGCAAAATAAACGTCTCGTGTTCAGACCAATCAGAAAGAGGATTCCTCCCACCAAATGAAGGCTTGGGAGCGGTTGCAACTGCAATGGATGGTGGTGGTACTCGAGGTGCAAACTCATAACTTGATAACAAGCTCTTTAACTTCCTCTTCTTTTGATGCCTCTGCGAATCACCATAATCATCATCATCGTCATCCTCAAACACATCTTTCCCTATCCGCTGAACACCATTTTCGTCATCATCATCTTCTTCTTCTTCTTCTTCGTCATCAACATCTTCATCATTATCCGCCTCCTCAACATACTGATCATCAACATGCCTTGAATAAGACGTGTCGCGAGCAGGAAGTTTCTGGCGATTGGATGACCCATAACCTTGGTTCATGCCATAAGGGCTGGGAGGATATCTCCCATTATCCTCATTGTCATCCATTCAAGCTCAAGAAACCAAGCGACTACTAACACCGCACACTAATATCTACCCTCTTATTAGAGAGAGTCCAACATAAAATTCCAAATTCTAAGCACAATGTTTCCTTTATCAAAATTAATCCATTTTAACTCCAAATTAACATTTCATTCTTAACAACTAGATGATAATTTTCTCCAGCACCACATCACAAAAACCTCATTCGAAAAAATCTCAAATACAAGCAAAACACATTAATCAAAATCATGAAAATATGCCTACAACAACCCAAAATCAATACAAGAACTTCTATTTTTAAGGGATTAGATACAATAAAAAGGAAAACCCTTTAATCCCTTCACCTCAAAAAGGGGAACTTTGTGCTTGAATTGCCTTAAAGCCGGAGACTTAATCAAAACCCTTAAAAACCCAATATCCATTGAAAAAACAAGAACAACTCATTTTCAGCGGATTAAGTTTCAATTCCGAAATACCCTTTAACTCATTTACCTCAAAAAAGGGAGATTGAGCTTGATGGGCCTTAAAGTTGGGAATTTTGAGCAAAATCAAACACTTTAATAACAACCAAAATCAATAAAAAAAAAATAAAAAAAATAGAACATCTCTTTTTCAGCTTATTAAATTCCAATAAAACATACCCAGAACTCACTTACCTCAATAAAGGGAACTTTGTGCTTGAATTGCCTTAAAGTTTGAAACTTTGAGAAAAATCAAACACCTAGCACCAACAAAATCAGACAAAATCTTAAGAATCTTGGAGGCTGTAACAGGATTGAAAGGTTGTATCAAAATTGAAAGTACTTATTGAGTAATTTTCAAGATTTCTAGGGTTCATATTTTGGGGCAGTAAATATGAAAAAAGTAAAGAAAGTTTATCCCCATCTGATTTGAGGACACAAAAATCAGCTGGGAGTGGAACCACCAAAGTTGCTAAAGTGCGCCGAGTGTGAACTTTTTTCCCGGCTGCATCTCATCTCACCAGCCTTTGGTTGGGGCCCAAAGTGGGGGTGTTAACTGTTATGGCAGAGGTATCACAACACGTGCTCTTGGCATTATTATGGTTGTGTTTTTATTTATTTATTTATTATTTTACAAAACTTGTTTTTACTTTTTCAATTAACTGTTAAAAGGAATAAAAAAAAAAAAAGAGGGCAGAATAAAAGTACATTTATCATAATTCGACCACAGTGGGAGTCGAACCCACGACCTTTTGATCCGAAGTCAAACGCGCTAATCCACTGCGCTATGCGGTCCTGAGTGAACAAACTGTTCCCAGATCATAATATATAGTTATCATAAAACTCTATTTTTACTTGATTATATCAGAAGGAAAACAATCTCATTAACACTCATCTATGCCATACGAAACTGAATAAGATTAACTTGAATATGTAAATGACCTTTGATACTAATAAGATAAACGTACATTTACTTCCCATAGTCAACCTTAAATTAGTGGTGGAGCCGGAGTACTTTCAAGGTGTATGCATATTTATACTAGAATGTTACACACAGATCTTGAACACATGACCTAAATACTAAAGCAATTTTTGAACCCTTTTATCGACGCTACACTATAATATTCGCTTGTCGTTAGAATTTCAACAGTTTATATATATAATTAAGAAATTCATTTTTATCATACATATGCAACCTAATTCCTGATGAAGGTGATTCATATGCAGCCCTTGACAACACCTAACTCTGTTGTTCCCTTAGATGATCTTTATTCAACACAAATGTCATGTTTTTTCAGTAAGTAATCATTTATAAATGCAGATAAAATGACTTGTTCAATACTCATATATAACAATCATACACTAATTGTATATATGCACTTAAAGAAACCTTTTTTAGAAGGCAAGGGGGGTTTGCTATTGTATATTAAAACTGCAAATTGTATATTGGAGTAAGTCATCATATGTTACCCTCTAGCTAAGTCCTTCAGATATGGCAAAGGCGTTGGTATGTTGCCCCATGACTGATCTTTGCGGGCTTCGGAAGAAACATGCATAATATTGGACAATGAAAGTATTGCCTTGGCCTAGGTGTAACTGGCTAACCAGTAGCTAGCGTACACATGATTTTTTATAGGTGGTATCACATCCAAGAGTACAACAATAATAACAATAATAACACATTTCATTGTGATCTCACAAGTGGAGTCTGAGAATGGTGGGGTGTACATAGACCTTATCATGTTTACCCGCAAAAAAAGTACAGTTGAATTTGGAACATGTTTTATAGACACATGGATTAAATTGATCTGATTTACAAAATAGCACAGTCCAAAGGAAATAAAATAAAGGCAATTAAAGAAAGAACAAGCCTAGATTTAAGATTGATCCCACCAGAATCAAGGATAATTAAAAAAATCTGGACAACACTAGCATAAAGCTTAAAAAGTTGAGAGAAAGAATATTAGACTTTAAGAACACTTGGATCCAGAACAAAAGAATATAGAGAGCAAAGTAAGTATGATGTTTTGCTATATGATTTCCTGATCCCTTACAATTAAATGAAGTCTCTATTTATACTAGATCTATAGGGTGCATGATTCAAAAATCATGCCCCTCAATTACCAATATTGATGCTGCAATAAAATGTAATTAAAAAGTGAAAAAGAATAATAAAGGGTGATAAAGCCTAATAAAGGCCGGAGGAATCTGGGTTCTTCTATTACGTTTTTGTAACGGTAATATCTTGAATTGCTTCTTATTTGCCCACAAGTTTGTATCTGGTGTCACCATGGTTGAGTCACCACTGACTGATCACCCTTGACACGTGTCGCTTTCTAATTCACCCAATTTTTGAAATCGGCTTTTACAGTATACAACTTACTCCTAGCTTGTGTGAGGGAGAGAAGTTTTTTTCGATAGACTCCCGGCTCAAGAAAAACATTTTCAGAACAGGTTTGGAAAATACAAGAGTAGAAAACAAAAAAAAACAACAACAAATAACATACTCAGTAAAATCCCACTAGTGGGGTCTGGGGAGAGTAGAGTGTACGCAGACCTTACCCCTATCCCAAAAAGGACAGAGAGGCTGCTTTCAGGAGACAACAGGAGTAGAAAAGTTAAGATAAAAATATTGAAGAAAAGAAAAGTATTGATAGCAAAAATATTAAAGATAGCCAAAGTAAAAGAAACAATAGTAATATAAGATAATAATGGAATAAAAATAATATTACTTGATAAGGAGAAGCGGAAGCTGATAAGGTTCTCTAAATGGAACCATGTCTTTTCAGAGAAAATAGAGAAATTACTGGACTACCTATTAATCTTCTACCCTAATCCTTAATCCTCTAGGCAAAATGGTATAGATTGAGAAAGTGGTGTCTCTTTATATTCTATATCCGTGTCTTTTTCTTCTTTTTTTTGCATATTATTTATATGTGTACTTAGTAAAAAAAATCGGCGAACCGATATCACGTGACATCGCTGAGCCTAAGGCAAATTTCTGCCCGCGGTGACACTTAAACGTCCAAGTGATAGTCAAGGTGCCTTAACGAGGTGAGGCAACCGTGTCGGCTTAACAATTAATGTGGACAACCTTGTGTTTTGCTCTTGCCTGGTTGTTCCAGTATTTTGTTGGCCATGTACAGTTGATTGTTATGCCCAAAACATTTTACTTTCTTGCAACTCACCTGAATGAAGATTTTCCAGAGCTCTAAGCCATGTTCGATGATTGTCGTTTCCTGTTAAAGAGAAATTATAATGTTTCTCTTATTTGGATTAAGATGTAAGAAAATTTAGTTGCTCATTTCTTGACAAGAGAGTCTAAAAATTATGCTAGTTATTTCTACTGAAAACATTCTCCTAGAAGTATCAATAAACAAGTCAATGACTTAAATAGATAGTTGACATTTACCTATAAATAAATTATTTCTGCCTCATTTGTAAACATAATGAATAATGTCCAAATGAATAGCTAGTGTCACACCCCTTTTTTCACCTTATTAATCCTCTTTAAAAGAACAAAATATTTGTAAAGCTCAAAAGAGTTTCAATTTTGAAAAGTGACAAAGTATTGCGTTTCAAAGGATTTTTAGAGCCGCCACTTGACATTATTATTGAATGTTTTAAATTTAATCTAAGTAGATGTTGGAAATGTTTTGGTAACATAAATGGAACCCACTAGTTGGTTAAGTTTTGCTTGCCTAACCACGGTGTTGGGCGGCATTGCGACCTAGATTGGAAATTGGGTCGTGACAACATGGTATCAGAGCACTAGGTTCATGTAGGTCTCACAAATCATGGGCAAACCTAATAGAGTTTGGCGGATCGGTACGGAGACGTCTGTATCTATCTTCGAGAGGCTATAGGGTGTTAGGAAAACTACTCTTTGTTCATCTCCTATCGTGCAGTTGATGGTATACTAAATTCCTTTCTCCTATTTTCTCACAGATGGTGATGACGCGCACGGCAAATGTTCTAGACCCGGGAGGAGCTGCTCTCCCCGTTGCTAGAGGCCGATGCAGAGGCCGAGGGAGGGCACCGGCCCGAGGTAGGGGACGAGGGCATCCTAGAGCTGCCCCAGTTGCACTACCGGCGGGTCCTGCGGGGGATCCTATCATAGAGGAGCAGGGCGAGGTTCCAGCAGCTGAGCCTACCCCGACAGACTTCATGACAGCACCGGGTTCCAGGAGGTCATGGGCCGTATATTGCAGTTCATGGACACCATGACTCAAGCTGGTTTATTTCCAGCGGACCCAGCCACATCTCAGGCGGGAGGGGGAGCACAAACCCTTACCGCCCAGGCTCCTGGTCATGCAGCGGCAGTGTATTGGATTCCGGGTGCACTACCAGCGGATGAGGCTCAGCCAGTTGCTGCAGTGGTACCCGAGCCAGACCGGCTGCAGACATCGATCCGCATAAGTTACTAGACAGATGGACTAGACTACACCCTCCCATCTTCGGAGATGAGCGTCATGAGGATGCTCAGGATTTCATTGATAGGTGCAGGGACAGACTGCACAAATGAGGATATTGGAGTCTCATGGGGTTGACTTCACTACATTCCAGCTGGAGGGGGGCCGTAGATGGTGGCAGTCTTATGTTCTTGGCAGGCCAGCGAGTTCTCCTCCCTCTGAGAGGGAAGAGCTACGGTATCAGTTTGAGCAGCTTGAGTAGGGTCAGATGTCGGCGAACGACTATGAGGCAAGGTTTTCTGAGTTGTACCGCCATGCACTGATGATACTTCCTACTGACACAGAGAGGGTGCAGAGGTTTGTTGGAGGTTTTGGTATTAGGGCCAACATTTCCCGAGAAGTGGAGATGGGGACTCCTTATCAGCTAGTGGTGGAGATTGCTCGGAGGATTGAGGGCTACCGTCTGAGAGGTAGGGAGCAAATGCAGCAGGACAAGAGGGCTAGATTCTCTAGAGAGTTCAGAGGCGCCCCGGCTAGGGGCAGAGGTCAGTTTGGGAGGGGTCAGCCCAGCAGGCCCCCATATTCAGCTCCACCACCTCATCGGGGTGTTCCAGCACGCCCCTATTTCAGTGCCATACCAGAGAGTTCTTACCGCCCGCCAGCCATCCAGGGTTCTTCCAGCGGGTATTCAGGTCCCCAAGGTTCTTCCAGTTCCCATTTTAGTGCTATACCGGAGAGTTCATACCGCCCACCAGCTATTCAGAGTTCCTCCAGTGGGTATTCAGGACATCAGGGCCAGACTTTAGGACATCGGTCTATGGTACCGAGAGGTTGTTACGAGTGTGGAGATCCGGGTCACATGAAGAGGACCTGCCCCAGGCTTCGGTGCAAGGTAGCGCAGCAGGTTCAGCAGCCCATGATTATAGTACCGGTTGCCCAGTTGCCTAGAGGCGGAGGACAGACTAGTAGGGGTCGTCCTAGTGGTGGAGGCCGGGCAGGGAGAGGCCAGCCAGCCGACGCTCCAGCCGGAGTCTATGCGTTTCCATCCAGAACAGATGCATTGGCCTTAGATGCCGTCATTACAGGTATTATTTCCGTCTGCGGTAGGGATGCTTCAGTGCTATTTGATCCAGGGTCTACCTATTAAT